CTGGGAGCACTGGGAGCACTGGGATGCACTGAGCTGAACTGGGAGCACTGGGATGCACTGGGTTGCACTGAGCTGAACTGGGAGCACTGGGATGCACTGAACTGGGAGCAATGCGTTGCATTGGGATGCACTGGGTTGCACTGGGAGCACTGGGCTGACCAGGGACCGCATGGCCGCTTTTTCTGCCTCGAGTCCCCCTGTGCAGCAGGGGGCGCCCTCGCACCGCTCTCTCTCTTCCCTCCCCCCCCGCAGGCAGGCGCGGGTGGCGGCGGCGCTGGCGGCGATGCCGGCGCGGGTTCGCGCGTGGCGGGAACAGCGGGAGCGGGAGCGCGCCAAAGCGCGGGAAGCGGCCGAGCGACGACAGCGCCTCCTAGCGGCCGGAGGACCGGAGACGGGAGGAAGCCAGCGCCGAAGCGCCCGCTCCCAGGCGCTGTTGGAGGACCTGGAGCGGCAGCAGCGGAGGGAGGAGAAGCGGCGCCAACGACGGGAGCGCCAAGAGGCCATGAAGAGCGCCCTGGCGGCGGCCGAGGAGGCGGCGGCGGCGAGGCCGCCCCCTGCTGGCGTCTCTGGAGGCTCCTCCTGACCCCCATCCCCCCAAAAAATGGGTTTAAAACTCTGCATTTAATCTCTTTTTATTGCCCCCTCCCCCCCCCCACCAAAATTACCCCAAATCCAAAGGTTCTCCCCCAAATCCTTGGGTTTATCCCCCAATTCCAGAGTCCTTCCTCCCCCCCCCTCCCCCACCATTTTTGGTTCCCCAACCCCCTCGTTTCCACCCCAACCACCCCCGAGTGTGAATGGAGGGGGGATGGGGAGGGGGGGGGTCACCATTCCCTGCTCCTCCCCATTGATGGGACTGGGGGTGAATGGGGAGGAGGGGGGGAGGGGAAGGGAAATCTCCCCCCTCCCCCATTGAAGAGGGGGAGGGGGGAGGGGGAAGGGGGTGGGGGCCCCCCCCTCTCAGTCGTCGTCGAAGTTCTGGCTGAGCAGGAAGTTGGCGGCGAGGTTCTCGTTCTTCTCGCAGGCGAAATAGGCCTGGATGACGAGGCCCTCGGGGAAGCCCAGGGCCTTGAGCTGAGACAGGCGTTAACCGTGGGGCTGCCCCACACCTCCCCTGTGAAGCTTGGAGGCTACTGATGCTATGGGGCTGCCCCACACCTCCCCTGTGAAGCCTGGAGGCTACTGAGGCCATGGGGCTGCCCCACACCTCCCCTGTGAAGCCTGGAGGCTACTGAGGCCATGGGGCTGCCCCACACCTCCCTTGTGAAGCCTGGAGGCTACTGATGCTATGGGGCTGCCCCACACCTCCCCTGTTAAGCCTGGAGGCTACTGATGCTATGGGGCTGCCCCACACCTCCCTTGTGAAGCCTGGAGGCTACTGATGCTATGGGGCTGCCCCACATCTCCTGGGTTAACCCTGGAGCCTCCTGAAGCCATGGGGCTGCCCCACACCTCCCCTGTTCAACCCTGGAGCCTCCTGACGCCATGGGGCTGCCCCACACCTCCCCTGTTAACCCTGGAGCCTACTGATGCTATGGGGCTGCCCCACATCTCCTGGGTTAACCCTGGAGCCTCCTGAAGCCATGGGGCTGCCCCACACCTCCCCTGTTCAACCCTGGAGCCTCCTGACGCCATGGGGCTGCCCCACACCTCCTGTTAACACTGGAGCCTACTGACGCCATGGGGCTGCCCCACACCTCCCCTGTTCAACCCTGGAGGCTACTGAGGCCATGAGGCTGCCCCACACCCCCCTCCCCGTGCCCTCAGGCCCCCCCCCCCCCCGAGGCCTTACCCTTTCTATGGCTTCTTTCTCCTGCGGCGTCACCTGGATGTAGCTCATCTGTGGGGCCTCGTCCCCGATGGCGCCCATCTCCCCCTCGACCTCCCCCAGCTCGCCCAGGGGCTCGTTGAGCATCTGGATGAACTGCTCCTGGTGCTGGCTGATTTGCTGGGGGGGGGGAGGAAGGAGAGGGGGTGAGGGGGGGAGGAAGGGGATGGGGGAGGGAAAGGGAAGGGGAAAAGGGGGGAAATGGGGGGAAAGGGGGGGAAGGGGAGAAAGGGGGGGAAAGGGGGGAAAAGGGGGGGGAGGGGGAAAAGGGGGGGAGGGGGAAAAGGGGGGGAGGGGGAAAAGGGGGGGAGGGGGAAGAGGAAGCAGGAAAAGGAAAGAAATGGAGGAGAAAGGAGGAGAAAGGGGAAAGAGGAGGAACAGGAAGAAGGGGGAAAGGGAAGGGGAAAAGGGAAGGGGAAAAGGGAAGGGGAAAAGGGGAAGGGGAAAAGGGGGGGAAGGGGAAAAGGGGAAGGGGAAAAGGGGGGGAAGGGGAAAAGGGGGGGAAGGGGAAAAGGGGGGGAAGGGGAAAAGGGAAAGGAAAAGGGGAAGGGAAATGGGAAAGAGAAAAGAGAAAGGGGAAAAGGGGAAGGAAAAGGGGAAGGGGAAAGGGGAAGGTGGGAAAGGGAAGGGGAAAAGGAAGGGAAAAGGGGAAGGAGGAAAAGGGGAAGGGGGGAAAGGGGAAAAGGAAAGGGAAGGGGGGAAAGGGAAGGGGAAAAGGGAAGGGGAAAAGGGGGGAAGGGAAGGGGGGAAGGGAAGTGGCGTCTCCCACCTGGAGCAGCTGGGGGTTCTCCTGGCCCAGCTGCTGCAGCAGCGCCGGGAGCAGGGCCGGGTTCTGCTGGATCACCTGGCGCATGTTCTGGAACTGCGGCTGCTCCCGCAGGAACTCCAGAGGGTTCTCCCCTGGGGCACAGAGCGGAGGGGGCGGGGCTTGAGCAGGCCACACCCACACACATAGACACACCCATTGGGGGGGCACGGAGAGGGCGGGGCTTGAGCAGGCCACACCCATGGGGGGGGACACATGGAGAGGGCGGGGCTTGAGCAGGCCACACCCCCACATAGACACACCCATTGGGGGGCACGGAGAGGGCGGGGCTTGAGCAGGCCACACCCACACATAGACACACCCATTTGGGGGGACACATGGAGAGGGTGGGGCTTGCGCAGGCCACACCCATAGGGGGGACACATGGAGAGGGCGGGGCTTGAGCAGGTCACACCCCCACACATAGACACACTCATGGGGGGGACACATGGAGAGGGCGGGGCTTGCGCAGGCCACACCCATAGGGGGGACACATGGAGAGGGCGGGGCTTGAGCAGGCCACACCCCCACACATAGACACACTCATGGGGGGGACACATGGAGGGCGGGGCTTGTGCAGGCCACACCCACACCCAGACACACCCATTGGGGGGGACACATGGAGAGGGCGGGGCTTGAGCAGGCCACACCCACACACAGACACACCCATTGGGGGGGGACACATGGAGAGGGCGGGGCTTGAGCAGGCCACACCCCCACACAGACACACCCATGGGGGGCCACGGAGAGGGCGGGGCTTGCGCAAGCCACACCCACACACAGACACACCCATTGAGGGGCACAGCGTGGAGAGGGCGGGGCTTGAGCAGGCCACACCCACATACAGCCACACCCATTGGAGGAGGGACGGACACACGGAGTAGGCGGGGCTTCCACAGGCCACACCCCCACCCAGCCACACCCATGGGGGGGCACAGCACAGAGAGGGCGTGGCTTGCACAGACCACACCCCCACACAGCCACACCCATTGGAGGAGGATCTCAAAGCAAACAGAGGGTGACCAATCAGAGCCTCCCGTATTGGGGGGCATGGCTGGACCAAGCCACACCCCCCACTCCGCCCTCCTCACACTTAGGCTCCTCCCCCCCATGAAAAGGGGCGGAGCTAATCAACCCCATAACTGACGTCACATGGGTGTGGCCAATCAAAAGGCCTGCCCTTTTGTGGGCGGGGCTCACACAAGCCCCCGCCCCCTCCTTTTTCCTTCAATTGGAGGAGGAGCCTCATTGTAACAGAGGGCGGGGCCTCGCACCCCCCCCCCCCCCCCCCCCCCCATTTGTGGGCGTGTCCAGCCTCAAGCCCCGCCCACACCCACCTTCAGCAGGGGGCTGCTCCGGGGGGCGGCTCTCCTGCACCGGGGGGCGCTCGGGCTCGGGGCTGCCGGGGATGCCCTGGGGGGGGGGAAGGGGATAAAGGGAGGTCAGGGGGGGCCCCTCTGCCCTATAGGACCCCCCCCCCAGCCCCATAGGAAACAGCAGCCCCATAGGATCCCCCCCCCAAGGCCCATAGAACTCCCCACCCCCACAGAACCCCCCCAGCCCCATAGAAAGCCCCTAGCCCGAAAGGAACCCTACCAGACCCATAGAACCCCCTCAGCCCCACAGAACTCCCCAGCCCCACAGAACCACCTCAGCCCCAGAGAACCCCTGCAACCCCACAGAACCCCCCCAACCCCACAGAACCCCCCCAACCCCACAACACTCCTCCAACTGCACAAAACCCTTCCAACCCCATAGAACTCCCCCGGCACCACAGAACCCCCTCAGCCCCATAGAAACCCCCCAACCCCACAAAACCCCCCCAGTCCCACAAAACCCTCCCAGCCCCACAGAACCCCCCCAGCCCCACAGAACCCCAACCCTCAGAATCCCCCCAACCCCACAGAACCCCCTCAGCCCCACAGAACCCCCAAAGCCCACAGAACCCCCCAGCCCCACAGAACCCCCCAGCCCCACAGAACCCCCTCAAGCCCCACAGAACCCCCCAACCCCACAGAATCCCCCTCAGCCCCACAGAACCCTCCCAGCCCCACAGGATCCCCCCAGCCCCACAGAACCCTCCCAGCCCCACAGAACCCCAACCTTCAGAATCACCCCCCAACCCCACAGAACCCCCCAGCCCCACAGAACCCCTCAGCCCCACAGAATCCCCCCAACCCCACAAAACCCCTCCAACCCCATAGAACTCCCCCAGCCCCACAGAACCCCCTCAGCCCCACAGAACCCCCCCAGCCCCACAAACCCCAACCCTCAGAATCCCCCCAACCCCACAGAACCCCCTCACCCAACAGAACCCCCCAGCCCCACAGAACCCCCTCAGCCCCACAGAACCCCCTCAGCCCCACAGAACCCCCCAGCCCCACAGAACCACCTCAGCCCCACAGAACCCCCTCAGCCCCACAGAACCCCCCAGCCCCACAGAACCACCCCAGCCCCACAGAACCCCCTCACCCAACAGAACCCCCCAGCCCCACAGAACCCCCCAGCCCCACAGAACCCCCCAGCCCCACAGAACCCCCCCCCCACAGCCCTCACACAGAATCCCCCCAGCCCCACAGAACCCCCCAGCCCCACAGAACCCCCCCAGCCCCACAGAACCCCCCAGCCCCACAGAACCCCCTCAGCCCCACAGAATCCCCCCAACCCCACAGAACCCCCTCACCCCACAGAACCCTCCCAGCCCCACAGAACCCCCCAGCCCCACAGAACCCCCCCAGCCCCACAGAACCCCCCCAGCCCCACAGAATCCCCCCAGCCCCACAGAACCCCCTCAGCCCCACAGAACCCCCCAGCCCCACAGAACCCCCTCAGCCCCACAGAACCCCCTCAGCCCCACAGAACCCCCCCAGCCCCACCGTGAGCAGGTACTCCACGGCCCGGTGGGGGTTGTTGTAGCTGGCCCTCAGGGCGGCCACCACGCGCTCCCGCTCGTAGCCCATGGACATGATCTCCTTCAGCATCGTCTCGTACTCGGAGCCCGTCACTGCAGGCACCCCCAAAGTCAGGGGGGAGCCCCACAACTTCCCCCCCCCCCAGCCCCACATTGGGACCCATAGAGGCCTTTGTTAACCCTGGAACCCCTGACCCCAAAGGGATGCTGCACACCCTGGGGCTTAATGGGAGCCCCCCCCCCCGTTAACTCTGAAGCCTAATGCCAATGGAACACCCCACCCCCCCCCCAGCCCCACATTGGGACCCATAGAGGCCTTTGTTAACTCTGGAACCTACTGACCCCAAAGGGATGCTGCTGACCCTGGGGCTTAATGGGAGCTCCCCCCCCTCTGTTAACTCTGAAGCCTAATGCCAATGGAACACCCCAACCCCCCCCCCCCCCCAGCCCCACATTGGGACCCATAGAGGCCTTTGTTAACCCTGGAACCTACTGACCCCAAAGGGATGCTGCTGACCCTGGGGCTTAATGGGAGCTCCCCCCCCTCTGTTAACTCTGAAGCCTAATGCCAATGGAACACCCCAACCCCCCCCCAGCCCCACATTGGGACCCATAGAGGCCTTTGTTAACTCTGGAACCTACTGACTCCAAAGGGATGCTGCTCACCCTGGGGCTTAATGGGAGCTCCCCCCCCCCTCCCTCTGTTAACTCTGAAGCCTAATGCCAATGGAACACCCCAAACCCCCCCCCCAGCCCCACATTGGGACCCATAGAGGCCTTTGTTAACCCTGGAACCTACTGACCCCAAAGGGATGCTGCTCACCCTGGGGCTTAATGGGAGCTTCCCCCCCCTCTGTTAACTCTGAAGCCTAATGCCAATGGAACACCCCAAACCCCCCACAACTCCCCCCCAGCCCCACATTAGGACCCATAGAGGCCTTTGTTAACTCTGGAACCTACTGACCCCAAAGGGATGCTGCTGACCCTGGGTCTTAATGGGAGCTTCCCCCCCCCGTTAACTCTGAAGCCTAATGCCAATGGAACACCCCAACCCCCCCCCCAGCCCCACATTGGGACCCATAGAGGCCTTTGTTAACCCTGGAACCTACTGACTCCAAAGGGATGCTGCTGACCCTGGGTCTTAATGGGAGCTCCCCCCCACGCCGTTAACTCTGAAGCCTAATGCCAATGGAACACCCCAAACCCACAGCTCCCCCCCCAGCCCCACATTGGGACCCATAGAGGCCTTTGTTAACTCTGGAACCTACTGACCCCAAAGGGATGCTGCTGACCCTGGGTCTTAATGGGAGCTCCCCCCCACCCCGTTAACTCTGAAGCCTAATGCCAATGGAACACCCCAACCCCACAACCCCAACCCCAGCCCCACATTGGGACCCATAGAGGCCTTTGTTAACTCTGGAACCTACTGACTCCAAAGGGATGCTGCTGACCCTGGGGCTTAATGGGAGCATCCCCCCCCTCTGTTAACTCTGAAGCCTAATGCCAATGGAACACCCCAAACCCCGCCCCCCCACCCCCCGGGACCCCCAACCTCTTTCTTGCCCCCCCCCCCAAGCACTCACCGAGCGTTGAGGCAGCATCAGCTGAGCGCCCCCCACTGCTTGGGGGGGGGACAGAGCTGGGGAGGGGAGAGAGAGAGATGAGGCAGATGGAACCCCCCCAAAACCAGCCTTTGACCCCCCCAAAACCAGCCTTTGACCCCCCCAAAACCAGCCTTTGACCCCCCAAAACCAGCCTTTGACCCCCCCAAAACCAGCCTTTGACACCCCAAAACCAGCCTTTGACACCCCCAAAACCAGCCTTTGACCCCCCCAAAACCAGCCTTTGACCCCCCCAAAACCAGCCTTTGACCCCCCAAAACCAGCCTTTGACACCCCCAAAACCAGCCTTTGACACCCCCAAAACCTGCCTTTGACCCCCCAAATCCAGCCTTTGACCCCCCCCAAACCAGCCTTTGACCCCCCCAAAACCAGCCTTTGACCCCCCCAAAACCAGCCTTTGACACCCCCAAAACCAGCCTTTGACCCCCCCAAAACCAGCCTTTGACACCCCCAAAACCAGCCTTTGACACCCCCCAAACCAGCCTTTGACCCCCCCAAAACCAGCCTTTGACCCCCCCCAAAACCAGCCTTTGACCCCCCCAAAACCAGCCTTTGACCCCCCCAAAAACCAGCCTTTGTCACCCCCAAAACCAGCCTTTGACACCTCCAAAACCAGCCTTTGACACCCCCCAAACCCTGCCTTTGACCCCCCAAAACCAGCCTTTGACACCCCCCAACCAGCCTTTCACCCCCAACACCCACCTTTAACCCCCCCAAAACCCACCTTTGACACCCCCCAAACCAGCCTTTGACCCCCCCAACACCCACCTTTGACACCCCTAAAACCCACCTTTGACCCCCCCAACACCCCCCTTTGACCCCCCAAAACCCCCCTTTTGATCCCCCGTAAACCACCCTTTCACCCCCTAAATCCCTCTTTGAGCCCCCCAAAACCCCCCTTTGACCCCCCAAAAGCCCCCTTTGATCCCCCAAAACCCCCCTTTGACCACCCAAAAACTCACCTTCGAGCCCCCCAAAACCCCCCTTTGACCCCCCATAACCCCCCTTTGACCCCCCCATAACCCCCCCTTTGACCCCCCCATAACCCCCCTTTGACCCCACCCATAACCCCCCCTTGACCCCCCCAAACCCCCCTTTGACCCCCCAAAAACCCCCCCTTTGACCCCATCCCCATCACCCCCCAATGTCCCCCCCCAAATCCCTCTTTGAGCCCCCCAAACCCCCCCTTTGACCCCATCCCCATCACCCCCCAATGTCCCCCCCCAAATCCCTCTTTGACCCCCCAAAACCCCCCCTTTGACCCCATCCCCATCACCCCCCAATGTCCCCCCCCCAAATCCCTCTTTGAGCCCCCCAAACCCCCGCTTTGACCCATCCCCAAAACCCCCTTGCCCCCCCAAATCCCTCTTTGAGCCCCCCAAACCCCCCTTTGACCCCATCCCCATCACCCCCCAATGTCCCCCCCAAATCCCTCTTTGACCCCCCCAAACCCCCCCTTTGACCCCATCCCCATCACCCCCCAATGTCCCCCCCCCCAAATCCCTCTTTGAGCCCCCCAAACCCCCCCTTTGACCCCATCCCCATCACCCCCCAATGTCCCCCCCCAAATCCCTCTTTGACCCCCCCCTTTGACCCCATCCCCATCACCCCCCAATGTCCCCCCCCAAATCCCTCTTTGAGCCCCCCAAACCCCACCTTTGACCCCCCCAAAACCCCCTTGCCCCCCCCAAATCCCTCTTTGAGCCCCCCAAACCCCCCCTTTGACCCCATCCCCATCACCCCCCAATGTCCCCCCCAGAAATCCCTCTTTGAGCCCCCCAAACCCCACCTTTGACCCCCCCAAAACCCCCTTGCCCCCCCCAAATCCCTCTTTGAGCCCCCCAAACCCCCCCTTTGACCCCATCCCCATCACCCCCCAATGTCCCCCCCCAAATCCCTCTTTGACCCCCCAAACCCCCCCTTTGACCCCATCCCCATCACCCCCCAATGTCCCCCCCAAATCCCTCTTTGAGCCCCCAAACCCCCTCCCACTGGGGCCCCCCAAAACCCCCTTGCCCGAGGGCCCCCAAATCCCTCTTTGACCCCCCCAAACCCCACCTTTGACCCCCCCAAAACCCCCTTGTCCCCCCCCCAAATCCCTCTTTGAGCCCCCCAAACCCCCCCTTTGACCCCATCCCCATCACCCCCCAATGTCCCCCCCCCCCCTTACCCTGCTGTGGGCTCCGGGGGGGTGACTGGGGGCAGCTCGGGGGCTGGAGCCTCCTCACTGGGGGCAGCTGGGGGGGGGGGACGGTGTCGGGGGCCGGGGGGGGGCCCGGGGCAGCCGAGGGCTCCGATGTTCCACTGCTCTCAGGGGCTGCGGAGCCCAACGGGGCTGATTTGGCCTGGGGGGAGATGGGGGGGGTGAGTTTTGGGGGGGGGAGGATGAGTTTTGGGGGGGATGAGTGAGATTTGGGGGGGGAAAGAGTGAGTTTTTGGGGGGATGAATTTGGGGGGGAATGAGTGAGTTTTGGGGGGGGATGAGTTTGGGGGGGATGAGTTTGGGGGGGGAATGAGTGAGTTTTGGGGGGGGATGAGTGAGTTTTGGGGGGGAATGAGTGAGTTTTGGAGGGGGGAAGAGTGAGTTTTGGGGGGAAAGAGTGAGTTTTGGGGAGGAATGAGTGAGTTTTGGGGAGGAATGAGTGAGTTTGGGGGGGGAATGAGTGAGTTTGGGGGGGAATGAGTGAGGGGGGGAATGAGTGAGTTTTGGGGGGGATGAGTTTAGGGGGGGAATGAGTGAGTTTTGGGGGGGATGAGTTTTGGGGGGGATGAGTGAGTTTTGGGGGGGAATGAGTGAGTTTTGGGGGGGAATGAGTGAGTTTTGGGGGGGAATGAGTGAGTTTTGGGGGGAATGAGTGAGTTTTGGGGGGGGAATGAGTGAGTTTTGGGGGGGATGAGTTTGGGGGGGATGAGTTTGGGGGGGAGATGAGTTTGGGGGGAAGAGTGAGTTTTGGGGGGGGAAAGTGAGTTTGGGGGGGAATGAGTGAGTTTTAGGGGGGGATGAGTGAGTTTGGGGGGGAATGAGTGAGTTTTGGGGGGATGAGTGAGTTTGGGGGGGGAATGAGTGAGTTTGGGGGGGGAATGAGTGAGTTTTGGGGGGGAATGAGTGAGTTTTGGGGGGAATGAGTGAGTTTTGGGGGGGGAATGAGTGAGTTTGGGGGGGGAATGAGTGAGTTTTGGGGGGGAATGAGTGAGTTTGGGGGGGGAATGAGTGAGTTTGGGGGGGGATGAGTGAGTTTTGGGGGGGAAAGAGTGAGTTTTGGGGGGGAAGAGTGAGTTTTGGGGGGGAATGAGTGAGTTTTGGGGGGGGAATGAGTGAGTTTTGGGGGGGGGATGAGTGAGTTTTGGGGGGGATGAGTGAGTTTGGGGGGGATGAGTGAGTTTTGGGGGGGGATGAGTGAGTTTGGGGGGGATGAGTTTTGAGGGGGGATGAGTGAGTTTTGGGGGGGAATGAGTGAGTTTTGGGGGGGAAAGAGTGAGTTTTGGGGGGAGTGAGTTTTGGGGGGGGATGAGTGAGTTGGGGGGGGGAAATGAGTGAGTTTTGGGGGGGGGAAATGAGTGAGTTTTGGGGGGGGAATGAGTGAGTTTTGGGGGGAATGAGTGAGTTTGGGGGGCGGGGAATGAGTGAGTTTGGGGGGGGAATGAGTGAGTTTTGGGGGGGAATGAGTGAGTTTTGGGGGGGGAATGAGTGAGTTTCGGGGGGGAATGAGTGAGTTTTCGGGGGGGAATGAGTGAGTTTTGGGGGGGGGATGAGTGAGTTTTAGGGGGGGGATGAGTTTGGGGGGGAATGAGTGAGTTTTAGGGGGGGGAATGAGTGAGTTTGGGGGGGAGTGAGTTTTGGGGGAGATGAGTGAGTTTTGGGGGGAATGAGTTTGAGTGAGTTTTGGGGGGAATGAGTGAGTTTTGAGTGAGATTGGGGGGGGATGAGTGAGTGAGTTTGGGGGGGAAATGAGTGAGTTTTGGGGGGGGAATGAGTGAGTTTTGGGGGGGGAATGAGTGAGTTTGGGGGGGGAATGAGTGAGATTGGGGGGGGAATGAGTGAGTTTGGGGGGGGATGAGTGAGTTTTGGGGGGAAAGAGTGAGTTTTGGGGGGAAAGAGT